GGACGCTGCACAAAAATGTTGTCAATCAAGGTTGAAGATAACAAGAGACAAAGGCAGTAAACAGGATGCTAAGCCCTTAAATTGCCTCAGACAGCCGGGAAATGTGTCTTGATTATAAACCACAGTGTGTGCGAGTGTGTGTGCAGCGGTATATCCCGAAACAAATTAAGTGGAACCAGCAAATTCCTCATGCACAAACTATTTCCTTTTGAGGCTTGCCAGATTTATTCGTTATAGCATACTTTTGCGGGCCAGGTAAAAAGTTCGCTGTTTGAAGATGTTGATTGCTTATAAACTATTACTTATTTGACGAAGAAGGAATGTTTTATTTGAGTTTGAAGACGTTGATTGCATTATAAACTATTAATTTATCTTATTATATTCTTATCATTTATTATAAGACTAAATTTAATTTTTGTTTAATCACTACTGAATCCTTTTTTTGTTAGAAAATTCAAAGAGAATTGTTTAACTTTATTTATAGACATTTTTAAGGATATAATTTAATTTTAGAATTCCAAGTAGCTATTTAAAGATTTTAAAAGTATATATAGCCATTAACTCTGAAAATTTTTTTGCATTATGACGTGCAATTTGTGCTGCATTAAATCACTTATATCCAATTAATGGGGTCAAGTGCTACGGAAAATATGATCAACTTTGGTGGAAGGTCGTGGAGCAGCCTTTCATTGTGTTTCCAATTTGTTGGCTTCTTTTTTCCTTTCACTTCTTTGGGAGTAATCATGCGAGCAATTAAGCTGCTCTCGATTGACGCTAATTAATGAACAGCATTAAAAATTATTATGTGTGAAGCAAAGAAGCGGCGCAAATATGACAGTCTTTTTCAAGGGGCTGCCACGCCCACCATCCACCGCCCCTCTCACATACACAATTTCAATTTTCGTGCCTTGTAATTTGCGTGGATAATTTATATGCATGGCGGGCGTATATAGAAGATGCGCCACCTTATCCCCCAGCCGACGATATTGCTCCTGGTGCGAGATGAAATAAATTTTGCAGCATCATTTAAGCTTAATTAAGACATCCCAGCCGCAGGCGATGATGGCCAAAAGGAGCAGCGAGCGATGGCGGCCACAAAAGCCTCCCAATGCACCGTGCTCAACATAAATAAATGAGTGAATGGATGCTGGGTGGAGTGGTGGTGGTTCCTCGGTGGTTCGTTGGTTCGTTGGTTCGGTGGTTCAGGGTTGAGTGGCCGCGTGCATATTCAAGGGGCCAAACATCTTAATGCCCATTTGATTTCCAGCAAACTCACGATTCCACGCATTAAATCGCTTAGACAATGTCAAAAGGCATCATTACTCAAGAAGCCGCTGGCAGCCCACGTTCCAGCCACGTCCAATTGCCCTCGTCATCTCAAATGAGTGGTGCGATAAAGCAGTTAATAGACAGAAAGACGAGGAACAAGGCAATAGGGTTTCGACTAGGAGATACCCTTACCATGCCCTCTAATATCGAAAAAACTTACAAAATTACTTATTATTAACTAGTAACACTATTCATTGATTTCACGATTCCAATTTCTTTAATAGATTGATTTAATAGATCAAAAATATTGTCAAAAATTGTATTTATAATACTAAAAGCAGACTCTTTTACTTTTATGGTAGTTTATTGAAAACAATTTTACGCATCTGAACAAAAAAACATCATTGTTTTTTGTTGAGGCCATTGCAACATTTTTTATTAGTTTCTAAGCACTATTCTATTCCATGAAAGTTTGCCAATCTCTCAGATATCAGTATAGTATTTCATGGCGCTCAGTTTTATACAACCAAATAAGTATGATTTCTCAAACGGTAAAACAAGTTGTATAATTTCTTTCCTGATATACAAAATATAACAAATACAATATACCCTTGTACCCAACTTTCACGAGGTATAAAAAGAATTGGAAATGCCAAGGAGTGTAGACTCAAACAGAGAAAGAGGATTCCGTGTAACTAGACTCCAAGCCAATGTTGATTTTTAATTACCGCGAAGACAACGAAATGTAACGATATTTACTATGAAATTCAATGCCATTAAGCACAATTAAGTGCGTCGGGATCCCCAACTTGCTAAATTACAACCCCCGACATAAGCAGGCAATTATGAGGGTGGCTCAGAGTTTCTACCAGCTAAATTCATTGAGGCAGCGGTTCAAAGTGTTGCACATTACGCATCATTTCAACATTTCGACTTTCTGGATCCGCGACCCTTTTCCCATGTTCCTCGTGCCACTACCAAAAATTGAAAAGGGGGGGAAAAAAAATGCCGAAACAAAAGCGTGAAAATTGCAAAAGTTTTCTTAATTGCTCCACGCGGCTCGTCAACGTTGTCGAAAATTAAGGGCAAATATGCAAAGTCATTCTGCGAGTGGGTGAAGTAGGGGGATTGGGACGAGGGTGATGGGTGATAGGCGGTGGGTGGTTGGGTGGTAGGGTACTGGTGGAATGGCCTAGCCCGCGTAATGATTAAGCCAACCCCAGTCACACGCACATGGGGGGAAAAAGTGGGAAAACTCACTCGACTCGCACTCTCGGGCACACATGCCGCTTTCCCATCGCCCCCAAATGAGGAAAATTCAGCGGTGGCAATTGAATTCGAGTTTACCACTTCTTAAAGCCCGCCCAGGTTGTTTTACCCAGTCTTTAATCAGATGAAAGTAATGTTATTAGTAAGTTTACTTGCTATTTGTTTATAAAATATTCTTCTATGAATTGGCTTTTAGAAAGATGAAAACTGTGCGCAGTATCCAAAAACATTTAAGCTATTGTTGCGAAGTTTTTATTATCCTTTATTATCCAGAACCAAATTCAATTGAATCCGTATTGAGAGAAACTAATTTAAATTATTATCTAATTGTTCCAATTATTCAACTGGTACATAATGTTGCCTCTAGTACGAAATTTTGATTATAATTGCATTAAGACGGCTACAAGGCTATCTTAGCTATTGTTTTCGGACCCTCAAGGATTTCAGGAACTCTCTCGAGTATCCTTAAATAAGTAATTTTCCTATTATTACTTCCCCGAAAGCTGTTTACAACGAACACCGCATTTGGTATGTCTTATAGCTGCATTCTGGGAATAAGAGCAACATTAACATGAGTGCAGTTAACAAACCACTAAGCTGAACGGCGACAAATGTACATGTCCTGCGAGTCAAAGGATACAGGATGCCGGGATGCAGCCAGCCAGACAGACAGGAGGAGCATTTGCCAGCTGGATAAGTGGTGACTGTGGTGCAGCAGATGCCAATTGCAGTGGAGCAGCTTAAATTAAACGTCACATTCACTCAAATTTACCCACATTAAGCATATTGAGCTTGCCACGCCCCCACATGCTTGGAAAAGCGTGTCACTTTGGGGGCGGGTAGATTTTCCCAGCTGCCTTTTGTTTAATGAAGCCGAAGTTGTGGGTGCGCATTTGTACGCTTATGAACACTTTGAAAAATTGGGGAATAGTCTACTGCACAAAACAATTTTCAGAAAAGTAAGCCATATGAAATAAAAAAGTTTGAAGTAAATGAAAATATAAATTGTTTGTTTTCGTAAATTGTTCTTTAATTGGCTTAAGCCTTGTTTAACTGATTTTAAAACAATTTTGTATGCTAACCTAGAAATAAATTTATTTGACCAAAAATTAAGTAAGTTGTAGGTAAGGACAATTTTTCGTGGTGTATTTGTATGTGTATGGGCTGGGTGCGTGCATGTGGAAAAACAGTTTTCGAATGAATGCAAGTTTTAATCCTTGAAATATGATTTGAGTGCAAATATTTTGCATAACCATGAGCCCGACAGTGAAAAGGGTTGGCCGCAGAAAAAGAAAGGAAGACTTGCGGTTGCCGTCTGTGTTTGTGTGTGTGTGTGTGTTTGCACAGTCGTATGTGTGAGCAGTGACACAATTCCGCTTGCAACATGTGTGTGTTGGTGTGTGTGCACTTGTACTTGCCAACCGCAAACACTTCACTCGCTTGAAGGTTGCCCCTTTCTCCTCTCTTACTTCCCTTTGCCCCCTTAACCCTTTTCCATAGCTTGCAACGAAGAGCAGGCGGCATAGAACCCAGTTGCAGACGCACAGTGCTTCCAGTTTTGGCAAAGAAAACTTATAAAAAAATAATATTTGTAATACTTTATTAATTACACAAATGATCATATGTGGTTTTTCCTAAAATAAGCCCATTTACATGGTAGGTAATAAATGGTCTTGTTGTTTTTAAATGTTAACTGTCTTCTTTGAGTTGTTGGACTTAAAAAATAATTGAAATTAAATATTCAATTACCATTTTCTGAACTTCCATTTTGAATACTTCTTTTCTGTATCTGGCTTAAATATTTAAGGAATTTTTTAGCTCTATAAAATAAAATTTAAATTTATATTATTACCAAACTTCTTGCAAATAATTCATATTTGTTAGATGACAGCATCTTTATGAAACAAATACTTAAAATTCCAAATCCCTCAAAACTTAACCTAATAATTAGTTTATTATTTTACTTTATGTGGAACAATATTTTTCGTGCTGGGTACAGCTTTAAAAATGCATTTGCCTAGGTCACCATTCAAATTGAGAGTCGAGGCTCAGGGGCCTAATACCATTGCTCGGGGCCACTTGGACTCACCTTTCGACCACAGAGCTCAGCAACAGAGCACTTTTAATGAGCTAAGTTTGGGCGGTACTCGATTCCGACCTCTGACCTCTGACCCCCGACCACCATGACAACTGCATCCAAAGAGTGTTACTCAGCGTGTAAGGGTTTTTGGGGCAGATCCGAGTGACTGAATGAATGTAAATGTCGTTTTGTGTGCGGCTACATATTTCTTGCCAACAGCTGCACTTTGGGTTTTTAATATTTTCGTGGTGAAGCGCACAAAGATATAAGGTTCACATTTGCATACAAATACATGTGCCTGTGCATTTGTGTCTATTTGCAGCTTTTGACTTTTCCACACCAATATTCACGTCTCACTTTGGTTTTTCCCCCTTTTTTTCAGACATGACTAACGGCGGTGTGCAGGGACCCATCGAGGGCTACAACTCGCTGGACGACCTGCTGTCAACCACTCCGACTCCTGGCCAGGCCGCCTTGCTCCTGCCCACCGCCCCCACCGCCGCCTACACGCATCCCAAATGGATGGAGCCCTACTTCGATCCCTCGACACCGCGCAATGTCACCGCCCTCATGGGCAAGTCCGCCTATCTCAGCTGCCGTGTGCGCAATTTGGCCAACAAAACGGTGAGTTTCGGCTTAGAGATAGTGCACTTGAAAAAAAGGATGGTGCTATAACAGGTGTTCATTTAAAATTCTGTGGCTTATTCCAAAAATTCCAATCCGTATCTTTGTATATAAAATACCGATTTGAATTTTGTTGTGATTCAACATAATTTTTTAATGGTGTTTAATTATCGACTAGAATTTTGCGAATCATTTCTTCGTTCTACCGAAAGTACAACATCACTTAATGGTAGCGAAAACTTATAGAATAAATCAGAGTAATATTTTATCACTGCGAAAATTGATAAACTTTTTTTGAATGAAACTAAATTTATTTTTGTGGAATTTTATAAAAATAACATTTTGTTAAAACGAAATCTTTGAATATCTCTTTCGGGTTCAATATTAAAGCATATTTTTTTGAATCTAATCTTCTGGGAATACAACAAGATGATAGATGTTATAATGATTAATTACGTTTTTAAATTCCTAAAAAATGGGAAGATTTTTTAAGTGTATATCTTAGAATTACTGCATGAGTACGGGGTTTTTGGGGGTTAACAGCCTACTCGTGTCGAAAAGTTTGTTGTCGTGCGTGACGAGAACGAGTCGCCGTGCCATTTAAGTTTGCGCCAACTTTCGGTTATTGTCGATGCGCGGAATAATTTTGTATTTTTTGTGACTGCCTCTTGCGTTGATTTCTTGGCTGATTTCCTAACCTGGTCGCCGAAACGTAGACCAAAATGTAATTCCCCTAGCATGACGGCGAAATTTTTAATTAGTTCCTTTACCTCGGGAGCCCGCCCCTTTTTGTTTGCTTTTTTGCGGTAGGGCGACTTTCAAGTTGGCTCCAAGTTGTTTTCTGTTGTCTTCTGGAAATTTAGCAATTTCATTTTTTCCCTCCTTTTTTTTTTCTCCGCTGTTGTTTTGCAATTGTTTCTTTTGTTTATCTGCTTTAATTGGTCCCTTCCCCGTGTGGCGGGGTCACAAGACAGAGGTCGGCCGTAGGCAACCTGCTGCTCCTGGAGCTTAATCTTTAGTCCTTCCTGCTGTCACAGGCAGACGGCATACAAATTACCAGATATATTCATGTGTTTTGTAAACGTTTTGTAGCATTTAATTACGTCCCTGATGGGAGTTGGCATCAGCATCCTTTAAAATGTGTTCTAATGAAACGTATATAAATGTGAGAGGTGACTTTTTTGATATGGCCGTCAGATGGGTTTATGAATAATTAGGCAGACTTGAGTGGCAGGCGATTAATGAGTGGAACGCACGTCCTGCCCCAGGAGATGCTTTATTCGCCTCCGAAAAATTTGCATATAGATGCACGCCAATTCTCATTTTCCCTTTGGCCGAAGGGAAAATGCCATGCCGAAAACCAACAAACTTTCAACACGCTCGCGAGCACTTGACACAAATGCGCCACCAGGATGTGGATCCCGCTGGCAGCCAGTGAAATGGAGATGCGGATGCGAATGCGGATGCGGATGGCGTTGCAGGATGCCGTTAGCAGGCGCAACTTTTAATTTCTTGCCAAACAAAAGAGGAACTTGTGGCAGTCCCAGAAAACTCACCCATGTCGGCTAACACATACATCAACTGTTCAACCTCAAGTGGGTGCGCCTTTTTGAGTTCTGGCCCTGCCACGCCCCCGCCCACCTCCATCACCTCCCCGCCAACCTCCGCTGCAGCACTCTCAATTGCATTTGAGCGCGAAATTATTTAAACAATTTCATGAAATTGCTCTCGCCGCACGCGTCAACAGCACTTGGCTCACAGTCCGAGTTGCACGGAGCCAAAAGTTGCACTGCCGCCGCAGAGCACCACCATGCACCACCCAGCACAACCTTTCACCATCCCACACCACCCCACACCACCCTGAGTTGCAACTTGAAGCGGAATGTCGAGCTGTTGTTGCTGTTCCGGATGTTGTACATAGAACAAAATTACAGACCACCTTCAATTTAATTTAATTTGAATAAAAAAGTAATTTCGTAAAATCTTAAATATTTTGAAATATTGAATCTTTAATGACAAAATCTTAATAAATATTGATAACGAAGAATACAAAAATGAATAACAATAAATTATCTTTCATATTAATGGACATTTAACTAATAAAATTTTACATAACCATTTATTCTTTTTAAAGATGATCAATAAAATAAAAATTATCAATTAATAATACAAGTTACTTATCTAATTAAAGAATTTGTAATTGCTTAAGATTCACTCACTGGAACATAAATTATTTTTTTGTTAAAAATTAACCAAATTACAATTGTAAAATGTACTACTTTTCATTAAAGATTGTAAGTAACAGATTCTCTTTAGACATGCAACGTATATGTTGAAGAGCAATTTTCATATATATTTCTGATTTTTTCCTCTGCACTTGCTCTTCATATTGCAGGGGCGTTGCTGCTAATATGAAGTCCGCCCCCACTGTGAAAAAGTGGTTTGGGCCAGGGGGCGTGGCTCCATTACAGAACCGCATGCAGCACAGCGTGCACTTGTTAATTACGCTTTAATTTGTTGCGTAAAATGTTTGTTTAATGGCGGCGTTGTCGTTGCAAGTGTGCGGGAGTTGTCAAAAGTGCGAGCGCCATGTTTTTCTCACTTTTATGCACTCTCAGTGCACAGTGCACTTGCACAGGGGCACCGAACCTAAAAGAGAACCCATCAGGATATGCCCATACCATATAGCCATCCCGAAAACCATATGGAAATGCCATTGTTGAAGGCGGCCCTCGAAAGTGTGCAACAACATTGCGTATAATTAAACGCACGCACGAAATTTTGCGGGTGGTACTTTCTTTTCACTGAGAGAAAGCACCAACATACGTGTGGCGGTGGATGTGGGTGGCACTCGGCTGTCAAGTGCGATAATTTTGCATTTACATTTGACTTAATAAGTTTACATAAGCCGCCTGCCAGCTTACAAAGTTATCTCTGTGCACCGCAAAACTACTTAAAAAGTTTGTGATAATTAAGCAAAGCCAAAACAGCTCGAGCACGACCAGCAGCAGTGGCTTCGCCTCCACTAGCGATTCCGCTGAGATTCGGCGAAGTCAAGCCCTGATTTTTCCCCCCAAAAACCCGAGCAGTGCTTCACACGTTGCTCATACGACACGTACGCCCAGCTAAAAAGATGCAAAACTTTATTATCGCCCACCCTTTTCGTCGCCATCGCGACTTTAGCTCCTTCTAGCTGGGCGTTTTATTCGATTTTGATGGCACTGCGCCGGCAATTCGTTTTCAATTGCTGCATTTTTAATGGGCCAGCCGGTGGCTCAAGGAGCAGACAAATGGTGCGATTTTATGGGCTTTAAAATAATGATATCGTTTTGTTAGCAGCTCGCCTAATTGAATTAGACTTGCATCGTTTAAGCGAGGATGTCCAATGGATTTATGCATTTTTGCAGATGCCCTTTCATAAAAATGACTAAAAATCTACCCAAAATTACAATCCAAGATGAATATACAGATTTTTTTAGAATTAACCCACAATCATTTAGAGGTATGCCACTTTGGAATCGGAGGTCTGTAAGAAAAGTTGTGGGCTTAGAAGTGCAGGTTTTTGGTCACTTTTCAGCAAAAGCCATTTTTCGAATATTTGGAAAGGGCTCAACAAATGACTAAAAATCGACCCAAAAATACAAACCAAGATGAGTATACAGATTTTTAGAGAATTAAGCCACAATCATTTAGAAATATGCCACATTGAAATCGGATGTCTGTAAGAAAAGTTATGTGCTTTGAAGTGCAAGGTTTAAGGTCACTTTTCTGCAAAGCAATTTTTGAAAATTTAAGTTAAAAGGAATAATGTCAGAAAATTTGTTAATATTTTGTATTTATCTTATACCAATTTTTTTAATTGGCAGCAGTTTTTAAAATTTCAGCCTTGATACCTTTAGGCTTTAAACCTTCTTTTAACTTACTAAGCCGTACATGTTTAGCACAATCCATTTGTAAAATTTGATGAGAAAAACTCATTTTGGTAATTGATTTGGAAGAGAAAGTAATTTAATTAGAAAATTAGCTTCCAATTTTCTTTACAAGTTCCATAAATAAACTTTCTCCGAGTCAATACAGGCTTTTCATTAAATGAATTACCAGTTGTTAAGCCACCCCAGGAGCAATCCCTTTAATTTGGTCCCTGCAAGAGTACAAATATTTGCCATTGTTTTGTAATTTTGCAGGTGTCCTGGATCCGGCACCGCGACATCCACATACTGACGGTCGGCTCGTACACCTACACGTCCGACCAGCGGTTCCAGGCGACCCACCACCAGGACACGGAGGACTGGACCCTGCAGATAAAGTGGGCCCAGAAACGGGACGCTGGGATGTACGAGTGCCAGATATCCACGCAGCCGGTGCGCAGCTATTTCGTCCGGTTGAATGTTGTCGGTGAGTTGATGTGTAGGGGTCTTTGGATCGGGATTCCGATGCCGATTCGGTTTCCAGAACTGGGCTTCATAAAAAATCCACCATTTGTCGTCGCAAATAACAAAGGGCACTCGGTGAGAGCGGCTGATGACAAAAAAAAAAGAACGGAGAAAAACGAAGTTGTTGAGCAAATAAATTACACACAGCAAACGAGTGAGCAGCACGCACGGCAAAGGCAAGGCGATGGCGATGTCGATGGACCGTCGAGGACTTACTTTTTGTAGGACAATAATTCCATTTTATCTCGTACTTTATTATTCTACAGTGCCAGCCAACAAACAGCGCCCACCTATCTTCCTTTTTACGTTTTTTGTTCGACAACCATTTCTTTCATGCACTTACTTTTCCACGCCTTTCTCTATCTTTTTCGGTGTCTCCAGTGCCAACGGCCACCATCCTGGGAGGTCCTGACCTTCACGTGGATAAAGGCAGCACCATAAATCTCACTTGCACTGTAAAGTTCAGCCCCGAACCTCCGGCCTACATCTTCTGGTATCATCACGAGGAGGTAATTAAAGTTTATTGTTATATTCCCTTTCCCTGAGAAAAGCCCACTAGGAGTTGTCTCACCTCAACTACTCATAAGATTAAGGAAAGATCAATGAAATGGAATTTTCGTGGAAAATTTTGGTGGGGAAATCCGTTTAAAAGTTCATTTAAACTTTCAACTTGTAAATTATTTTTTTAATTTTTCCTTAAACATTTAATAAAATTCTATTCATTTGTAACCTCTTAAAAATTAACAACTTACTTGCCTTATAAATATAAGACTTTTGGTAATACATTTCCAGGAAATAATTAAAAAATGTATTATTATATTTAACAACATTTTAAACAAATATATACTGAAACTATTTATAAAACTTCCAATAAAGTGACACAAGATGAGCTTTTTCATGCCAACCAAAAAAAATGTTCCACAACAGCAGAAAAGCATATTTCACCTCAAAATATTGTTAGCCCGAACTTTTTTCTTTACCATTCTAATTGCCCTCATCAGCAATCTTTTATTCGCTTAACAATGACACATGCCATTTCCACCATTGCTAACGTTGGTTATCAAGCCAGTGGAACTCTCGTCAAAAACTTCAATCCCCCCAAGCAAACTTCGTTGCTCATACGCCACCGGGTGTCAGCCAAAGTTATCCTCTCCTTTTTGCTTTCCGCTGACACTTCCTCGCTTCCACATCCTTTTCTGATTTTTGCGAAACCCTCATCAGAATTTGGCCATTACCTTCCCCTCCATCGTCAACGTCGTCAACCTTATTTAAACGTCAGCTGTTGTTATTTTAATGAGTGAATCAACGCGCCCGGTTATCCAGCGTCCTTCACACATGCAAATGCAAATGCCAAGCGACGGATAACTGGGTAAATGGCGTTTCGCGGACGGGTTATGTTTAAATTACCGCCAAGGGTGCCAAATAAAAGAAGGGAAGTGGTACCAAAAAAAGGAGCATTTTCAGATCATCCGCTGCTTAGTTGTCCCTTCGCATCTGCCAATTAGCCCTGTTGTCTTAGCCAAGTTAAGCAGGCTAATTGCAGAGTGCTAAATCCGCAACAGTTGCATGCTAATTGCAATGCGAAAGCCAAACAAAATATCAACAAAAAACGCTTCAAGAGGTTGAGTAAAGCTACAAAAAAAGGCGGTGTTAAATGCGCTGCACACACAAATCCGGCCAACAACTGCTGCTCACTTCTTGCGCAGCCACTTGGCGTATTTTAATGTATTCCTGGAATTTTCTAATTAAAATCCTTGCTACCTCTGCAGGTGTATGTGTGTGTGCTGCGAAGGTTGGCCGCAGGAACCTTACTGCGTCCTTGCTGCAGGCTTTTGTAAAGTCCTGTCCTGTCCTGTCCCTTCCGTTTCGTGCCGTTCGCCGTGCTCGGCACACGGATTATTTACGATCCATGCAAATTTGCTGTTAATTAGTTTAATGGATGGATAAACCCAGTTGATGCACTTCCACCACGCTTCCACTGTATGCAGCACTTTTTGCCTCGCACTTCCGCTCGCTAATTGTAATTAACGTGTTGCATATTTTTGCCTTTTTCCACCTGAGGTCAGGTCCTTGACAGGATGGCTGGCATATGTGGCTAGCATGCCGGCTGGATTCCGGCTAATTCCCTGAAATTACTAGCATTTTTTGCCAGTCCTTCGTTGCCTTGGCTCCAGCTTTTAGCCAACTTCTTAGCCCCGATTCAATATTCAAGGGGAATTTCCAATCGTTCGTTATTCTGCACTTGTCTCTTTTACATTTTTGTCAAGTTCTGAGGGCCGACTTTTATGTAGTACCTGTGGGATTTTTATGGCCCCTGGTTTGTTTGGTTTTTATGCCCAAAATATGCGGGCCATTATTGTGTGGGTGAGTACCACATAAATCGGATATATGCGCATTTACAATGAGCTACACACATTTAACGCAAATATTTTATTTACTTTTTGCCATTGTTCGCCCGTGTTATTATTTCCTTTTGTGTCTTTTATACGGCATTTCCCCAATCCCAATCCGAATCCCAATTTCATCCGATGTCCGCGATTGAAGAAGTCAGGAACAGCTGCAGTTGTCATGAAAATTGCAAGCGGCACGCCATGAATTTTTAAACTCAGAATGACAGGATGTTTTTTTCAATTTATCAAATGACAAACTGCAGATTCGCATTTATTCCGATTCGCTGAAATTGGCCGCCTCCTCCCCCGGCCACGCCCCCATCCTCACGCTCATTAACTAATTTGTGCCGAGTTCAGAAATATTATAATACAAATATGAAATTTATGCAGGAGTCAGCAATATTGGGGCCGGGATATCGTGTGCCGACTGATAGGCAAACTTTTCACTTGCCAAAAGTTTCTGCGTCAAAGTTTGTGTCACTTTCAGTGTTTTCATGACTTATTTTCAGTATTTGGAGGGTATATTAGGAGTAGAACCCGAAATAAACCAGAGATTTAGTGAGGAAATGCAAGCAAAAAACCTTAATTATTAAAATTTTATTGCTTAAATTTAACAACTTATCTTTTATACAAAAAATAAATTATACTTCTTTTTTGCCAAGGTAATACTTAAAACTTATTGGTGAGAAACGTATATCAAGTGCTACATACATAGTAAAGATAGTTATTTATAAATATAAATCATCTTAGAGGTAATAAGTAAAATGTATCAATCAACCAAAAAACCAAGTCCCTAACAAAATATATTATTTTTCGTCCTGTTGAACACTGTAATTGTGCAATCATGCAATCAACACATTTCCGTAATCGGTATCAATGGTCTCATTTTACCAAATTTCCTGTTGTATTTCTTGATGTCTATATCTGTTTAGCCATCGTCATCATTATCAGTGACGCTAACTTTCCTTTCATTCTTCAAACTATCGCAAATGTCTTCGATTAGTTGGGATTAGACGGCGAATTATGCGCCAGACAGTTGGCCCGAGGTCCTTGGCCAAGGGTTGTGAGCCCTCTCATTTCCGCCGTTGTTGTTTTCAGCAGTTTTTTTTCCCTGTTTTTGATGGCAAAGTCTTTGCCCTGTCAGCGGCATTATGTGTTAATATCAATTCCCTGTCAGCTATCTGTGCTATCGTGAACTTTGCCCCCTCGGCCCTGTTGTATCGGCAAATTATTCCGGTATTTGTTTTTGTCAGCTGCTGGGGGCAACTTAATATGCATTCAGCTGATAGAGAACTGTTAGAGGCACTCCTCGACAGGACCTGCCAGCCTGCACAAATCGATAATCTAGTCGACTTCGATGGCTGACGGAAAGTAATAACCATAATGAGGAGGAGCCTTAAATCCGCTTGATTTGCATGGAATTTCACGCGATCTTTGATGTTGGGAGTCAACTTTAATCACGAACACTCTTATCAAATTCCAATTAAAATCCCAATTTTCCAGAGTGTCAGTCAAGGGCAGCTGTAGCCAAGTCTCGTGTATTTTGTGACACCTTGAATTATTTTGCAATTCAAATGTATATATTTTTTTTCGATGAGTGGTGATGAAAAATCAAAGAGATATCAGGCGACAATTTGCAATAATTTATTAAATGTTTCGTGTGCTTGTAAGTTACATTTTTCCCCTACCTTAAGGTGGGTCAAAAATGACATTAGGAACAACAGCCGTCGCAACAAGATATTTGCTGTTTTGAACCCTCATTGTTTTTACATTATTGAGCGAAAAGAGTGGGCGAATTGTACTCACGACTCTACTTCTCCTCCTCCGTTTTGCAGGTCATTAATTATGATTCATCAAGAGGCGGCGTGTCGGTAATTACCGAAAAGGGCGATGTGACAACCTCATTTCTGCTCATACAGAATGCAGATCTGGCCGATTCGGGCAAATACTCCTGTGCGCCCTCCAATGCAGATGTGGCCAGTGTGCGTGTCCATGTCCTAAATGGTAAGTACCCAACCCCATCCCCATTTCCCCCCAAATCCGAACAGCCCAAATGGAGGACCCGGCCACCAAATTGTTGCCATCCTCTGGGCAAATACTCGAATGCCCCGCCCATGAAATGCTATTTGTTGGAGAGCGCTTACATTAACTGACAAACGAACCCGACAGCCATCCACTGCACTGCCATTTTGATTTCTTTGTTGCATTTCAAGCTCCGATGCACACAAAAAAATAGTATGTTAAAAGATAGAAATTGGAAATCCAATTCACTGAAAATAAAATTATAAAAAATCTTCAAATAAGCACACTTAAATGTTGTAAAATCTTTTACTTCAATGGAATGTTTTTAATTTATATTATACATTTTTGATAATTTTTTATACAGGACTTACCTTTAAAATTTGTAAGATATATCATTTGATTAAAATCACATTTAAAAGAACTACTTCATTTAACTACTAACAAAATTAGAATCATGGCATTCCAATTCAAAAGAGTTTTTATTCATTAAATTCTAAATGAACGGCATTTAATAATATGGTAAAACTTTTATGTCCTTTGTATTTTTAAAAGTAAGTCAAAATTGGGTAAATTACTGACTGATCCTACAAACGATTTTGTCCCAAAATTATAAACGATTTTATAAAAATATTTATTTTTTCAGCTGGGAATAAAAATACGATATATTTTTGTTTAATAGAAAATTTACCTTACAATTATTGGTTAATACTATATTATGTATAAAAAAGTATTTTTAAAGATATTTTTTTATACCATTAAAATTTGCGTTAAACTAAAATATATAAAAATCAGGTTTTGATTGATTTTTTGCTGTGTGATAAATGTTGGCAGCGTTGCTGTTGCATCTGAATACATGTATCCGTGACAGGGCGTTACCCAGCGGGAAGTTTTATGAAGTCAGATGGACAGGGTCCCGGGGCTGGGCCGATGCAGATCCACCAGTGGCCAGTGGGCAGTAACCACCAAGCACTGACCCCCGATCCCAGGAACCATATCCCATATCCCAGATCCCCAACCGCCGACCGCCTTGACCCACTGAAAGCGAATGGAGCCCGGCTTCCGATTGCAATTTCGGCTCATTTCCGCCTGCATGCCAGGATGCCCGTGACTCTTTCACAATTGACCGGGTCCTTAATAAATTGTGCAGGAACTTGGTTCGCTTGATTTCCACCCGGACTTTCCACCGCAAAAGTGCAGCGGCACTGGGGCTCTAACAACAATCCTGGCAATCGCAGCTGGAAATGGCCCAATTTCGGGCTGAAGTTTTGATGTGACCCACGGGGCTCGAGGGCTGGTTGTATTGTAGCGGGCTCGCAGCACATAATCGCATCAATTATGAGCAAATTAATTAGCACACTGCGGTTAATTGCAGTTAAGTGAGTGCCAGACAGAGAGTTCCAGGCTCCCGGGAAAGGATTTCTCCCCTCCCAACGAAAGACGGATGCCGGCGACATTTACAAATTGCGAGTGGGATTGGGAGTGTTTGGGCAGAGGAATGGTTGCAATTTGCCAGCATAATCGCTGTCGATCGTCGTGGATTTGACACAGTTAAAATAAATTACGTAATTGTAAAGGCCAGAGACAAGGGCAAAACACAACTGCGGGAGGTGGGAAATGGAGGGGAAACGGGGGGAAATGGGGGGGGCGAAGTCCCTTCCACAATGACAGCGAATGCTATACAATTTGAACTTTGAAGGCGAAACGGGATGGGGAAAATGTTGCGGGTGGACAGGAAAAGGAAATGAAGGGGGCACGTTTTTCAATCATGCTAACAGTACCATGGTGACCCCGACCCACCCACTCACCACCCAACGCCCACCGCCCACTGCTTTCCGCAAATGGACCGCAAATGGTAACGTGCGGAAATCCATGCTGTTGCCATTGTAAACGTTTGCCAGCCATTATGCATGAATGCATAGAAATAGAAAACAGCGGGAAAAGCGGTAAAAAGGAAAACTGGTTTTCCCAGCAGCCAGGTGCTCCAGGGACTGGTATGCAGGGTCGATAGTGGGTTAACAAACAAAATAATGAAGCAACAGCGCCACCATACAAACGAGCCAAAAGCCGCGTTCCGTGAACAAAAAAAAAAACTTAAAATGGTCACAGGATATACGAGTGCAACACTTGTATGGATCTTCTAAGCGAATGAGCGATAAGGGGAATCTTCCATTTTTAGCGTTTTAAAAACTCTTTTAAATATCTAGCCGATCTCTTTAATAAATGGGTATTTATACAACATTTTGACCACTTGTTAAAGTCATTCACATCATCTATTTCAAATAAAAGTTTTTTACCTTATTTTTAAGGTCTATCTGAGCATTTAAGTAATAAGTTAACTTAGAATGGGACTCATTTCTAAATTTTTGCAAGAAAGCTAATATTTTATGGTTAATAGATTAATAGATATAAACCCAATTAATAATATAATATTATAACGTTTTTAAAGCTGTAAGTTTTTCTATGATAAAGCTCTGTGCAGTCTTTAAATATCACTGATTTGTTTAGATTTTTTTGCAAATGAGTTTAAATCCTTTCCACAATATTTTGGTATTTCACATTCTATATTTTGCTTGTTGCACTAACAAATAAAAATAAGTTTTTGCTGAGATTAGTTTTCAGCCATTATGTTTTTAGTAATGCTGGTGTCCTTTGTTTTTGAAACCATTAAGGTTATTGAAAAACTATTTGTAAAGCGGATTAACATATCGGAAATATGTTGTAAACTGAATGAGTTTTGTTGGCTTCTTTGTTTGTTTGTTGTGGTGTGGTCAGTGGGGTGTTGGAATAAAAGCTTTGTTTAAGTGTTATCTGGATAAAAATCAGATTATCTACATGGATTTCCATGGATGGCTCCACGAACTCGACCTTCGGCTGCGTTTGTCCACAATGAGTCTCAATGGGTCGAAGGCCACTCGAATTCAAGCGTTAATGACAGAAACAAGGGCCTCGTGTTGTGACAGGCAAACAAAACCCAGATGGGAGTTTGGCTTTGAGAATGGCCCTGTCAATTGTCCATTTACAAGTCCAAGTTGCCAGGCAGTGGGAAAGGTCCTTCAGACGGCACACACTCCTTCAGGCCTGGATATATATGGATCATCAAAGCTATCCAGGTGCTGAGAGCTATTTTTGCATTGTTCTGCATGCTGCATACCTTTGCCAAACGGAATACGACGGTTAAAATTGGCAGTAAAAATTGGGAGAAAGAAGTTTAATTTAAATTTTGTAAGCAAGGATCTTAAAGATTCACAAGAAAAAGTTAACACCTAATTTAATTACTAATTAGCATTTTAAGTATTAATAAACCATATTAGATAAAACTAAACTCTGACATACAAATGTTTTAAAATGGTTTAAGCCTCTATTATTTAATGAGCTTAGATTGTATCTGTGATTCTTAAATTCCCTATTTCTCAAACATTTTTACAGTTTTTAATGAGATAAATATATCAAATAATTTGCTTTATGATTTTTAAAAATGTAAGTAGTACACTACTTTAAAATCTTATAGCTAATTCTTATTTTTTCAACCCCTTTAACAACGAATAAATATTAAGTTACTAGATGGGATAGATAATGTAGCTTCTTTTGAGGAATAGAATTTCCATTACGGCATATTTCTGCGAGTGGGGCTGTAGTTAGGTAAATATTTTGCAACTTTGGCCAGCTGTCCGTCGAATGGATTGGAGAGCTGTCAGAAGCACAAAATGAGGAACATCTTCCGTGGGGATCTGCCGAATTGAAATTTGCCGCAGCCACATTAGTGAGCACTCCGAGCACACGGGAGCTCCCATTAAATTGCATATGGAAACCACAGCCAGAAACCACTGTCCGTTCGCCGCCTTCGTAGCAATTTCAGTGGATGTGCCTGTCAATCAGGCAACAATTGGGTAAATCAGGACTTCGTACCGAAAGACTATGCCTGTCCATCCATGTTGCGTAGTCGGAATGGATAAGCAGGTTGTTTTGCCCTATTTGCTGATGATGATTTCGATGCATCCTTGCAGGATGAAGTCGGATGGGGGCCTCCTCCACCTGGCTCCATTCAATTATGGAGAAGCTGAGGAAGGGTGTCCAGGTGACTCGTGGCTCGGCATATTGATATTTGTGCGATGGACAATGCTGCCTTGGCAGTTTACACTTGAGAAATCAAACGGAATCTCCGACAAATGTCCTGCCATCTGAACCCTGAAGAGAAGGACAAGAAAATCCCGTGGAAAGTAAAGTTTGAGTTTCGATTTATTTTCGCCAGTTTGAAATGTTGTTTGGCTATTTGTGTAGCGCTTTTGTTGGTTGCTCATCAAATGGCAAACGAGTGAGGGCGGATCAAGGAAAGTGTGAGAAGTTAAAGCCTTGACCTGATTCCAAATTCGAAAAAGAGTAGGAAAATCCCCTAGTTCGCTGCACGTATCGAAGTCAACGGAATGTCCTGCAAAACACACACACAAACAACCAGCTAGAGACGCCCGAAATCCTTTAGTCAAGTTTCGCAGGATGGCGAATTTATTCCACTCGACAACGTTGTGTGCTGCAGATTAGCTTTGTATTTTGTCACAGGAAATTACATTGCGCCTTAAGGATGCCGTAGCGCAAAAATTTCGTTTCATTGTTTGCGCGTTTGTATTTGTGCTCGCCGCTGACTGAGTGCCCGACCTCCTGATCCTGGACTTTGGTCCACATCCCATGGCTAGTCCGTGTCGGAGTCCGATTCCTCTGGTCCAATCCCCTGGCATGCACTGCTGGGAAATCTAGGTGTTTAAGGCTAGAAAAATGGTTCTGATTTAAGAAAGCTTGCCATAGAAAATGTACACTTTTAAATGGAAAGGTGTTCAATAAAAATAAAAGAAATAAGTAGGTTGTTTATATTAAAAATGTCTCTCAGGAAAAAAATATAGAATCTCATATGATTAAAATACAGTATGTGGATGAATATACCATTATCTTTGATGTGCGTCGAAAGTCTCTGTGGAGATTATAATCACTTG